AACTCAAATAATATTCTTTATACTATTATACTACTAAAAGAACCATATAATATATTTTTGAGGATCTACTAAGTAAGAAATTTTCACTATATAGGCCTAAATTTTTAGATAGGATGCATCTCAATAGATATTATGAAGAATTAAAACTAGCTTTTGAATACTAAAGATCCTAGCATATACTCTTAATTCAATATTTTATAAAAGAAAAGGAATAGATTTAGATGAACAAATATCTTGAGATCAAAAAAAGCAAGACCTATATAAAAAAGAAGGTATATGTCTTATTTTGATACCCCATACATGTGATCTTTTTTCTTACATTAGACATATGCTAATTGAGAAAGAATTCTTAGATAAAACAAAGTCTAGATCTTGAAATTTTATTAAGAAATTTTACTTCACTTAATATACTATATTATTAGTAATATTTAGTTTCAACAATATGAAAGTTAAAAAGTTTAATCTAGTAAATAGAATCATTCTCCATGTTGATGAGATAAAAGATACAAAAAAATTCAATATATTGAACTCAATACCTTAATAGCCCTTTACATTATTAGTTAGTAGTCACACCAATTTAGAAAAAACTAATGAAATTGTTAACCTATTATTAAAAAATAAGTTTTATCAAATATTTAATAGAAAATAAAAGAACTAGATATATTTTGAATGATAATTTAGTACTTATTAGCTACTATCTTAAAGAACCAAAATATTTATACTTTAAATTAGAATATTAGATTATTGCAAATAGCATAGAATCATATCATGAAGATATAACATTTCAGATGATGAAATCTGATAAAATTTCAAAGCTAGAATTATTCTTTCCAGAAAGAGATACAGTAGTTATATTCAAAGATTTATGTGCTGATTCAAAGAAGGTCCAAAAAGATTGTTTCTTATTTCACTAAAGAGTATTAAAAAAATATAAGTCTAATTTATATAACGCAAAGCTTTTTTGACTATCTGAAGATAATAAGAAAAGAACTAAATTATATAATACTCTTCAATAGGTCTATCTCAGATAAACTAGCTCATATTCTTTACCTATATACTAATAATTGGTATAGTATATATGCAGATATCAATAACTATTTATGTAATCAAAATTTATTGTCTTCAATTTAACAGTACTTCAAAATCATCCTTACTGAATACGAAAAAGATGAGATATACTATTCACCAAAATTTTGTTGTAGCTAATAAAATTTATTTTTACATTTATAAATTAGCTTGAATTAAAATTTTTTAATTAGTAAACTTGTATAAATTTGAATAATAATATTCTTATTTTTTAATTAGTAAACTTGTATAAATTTGAATAATAATATTCTTTTTTAATATTAAAGAAGAATTACTAAAAAAAAAGAAATTAATTAAATCAAATAAAGCTAAGTGATAATGGCTAAAAAATTAAAAAATAATCAGTACAAAGCAATAAGTAAGTTTACTACTTGTCTCATACAGTATATACTACTATGCAATCTAGATAAATATGACTACATATATGATCAAGCAACTAACTTTATCACTGTTAAAAATATAAAACAAGACAGAATTATAGACATGTTTAATTATCCTGAATTATGTAAATATCTTAGAGTAGCAAATTTATTAAAAAATGTTCATAGAATATTTTGACAATTATTGTGCTCTAATGATATAGTGTCCTACCTCGACAACTAGAAAAATTGATATAGTCTTAATAGTTGTCTACTATTTTTCTAATGCTATTTTTGAGATTACAATTGAATAATATAATTTATACATTAATATTTACTTGTTATATATACAAGAAAGAAATAAAAATCTATGAAGTATATAATAATAATTATATATATATTTTTTGTTTTCAGATATATACAAATTTGAATCATAATATTTCTTAATATAGGTTAATAAAGAATCACTATAAATTACTAAAAATACTATAAATTGTTAAAACACTAAAACAATAAGTTATTAATAAATATATCTAGTCAAACTCCTAAAATTATTATAGATAAGATTTTTAATAAATCAGTACTCAAACCTATTAATCTTCATCTAGAATATGATTTAGAATATTTTAAAAAATATTATGTAGAATATAGTAATTATAACTATAATTATATCAAAAATATATGCAAACTAGAAAAAAGATATAATAATTTAGCTATTATTAAACCTCATGAAATACCTTAATAGTGAGCTATTTATATAAAAGATAATTTGAAAGAATTACTTTCTAAAGAAAGATCTAGTATTTATTATATATATTGTCTCTTCGCTTCTTTTGAAAAAAGAAATATTAGAACTTATCTTGAAAACTATAGATCAAGAGTTGAACATATTAGCTATCAAAGATCTAAAGTTCATAAAAGTCAGATAGCTATATGCTTCAAATACTAGTAATTAGTAAAAATTACTGAAGTAGAACTAAAAAAAGTATATTTGAAGAGATATCATAAATAGAGTTATGAAATTAAATCTGAAGATATAATACAAAATAATTAGAATAATAAAATATTTCAAAACTGAAACCCAAGATAGAAGTACACAGATTATTCAAAATGCTTATTAAGATATTGTGCTAATTGAATCTATAAAAAGCAAAAACTCTATACCTAGTTTGATATGTTCATTGACTCCTCTGTTACTACTAAAACTTGTTGTATATATACAGTGCAGTGTAGGTATACCTAGTTTTATTAATGTTGATAAGTACTAGACTTCTGTATTAAAAAATACAAGAAAAGAGATAGACTTAATATCTTTTAACTGAATATTAATATTAATTACCTTAGCTATAGTATATTTACTTTTTTTTACAATCTAATTGAGACAATAATTATCTAGTAAATACAAGTTTATACAAGACAGAGTTTGAG